AAAATACACCTTTTTCTGACTATTTCATTTTTTTAATCTGCATGAATTTATCATGCTGTGTGGTGCATGACGCATGGCATATATAAGGCCATATCCAGCCCAGTGAAATATTTCATGTTGCTGGATGGTAGCCTGCTGTTTCTGCAGAATGTAATGTAGTCTTTACGCTTGGGAAGAAAGCCTTCTGCATGTGACCTGAAGAATCATTGGCTGCCTAGATTTGTCTATACTGGCTCTGAGTCTGCTGAAATGGTGTTTATACCAGTGCAAATTGTAGTGCAAAGAAAGATGTCACAGCAGAAACCATTCTTTGCACTGTGGTATGTATATACCGCTCACCATGGTGCAGTGTAGAGATAGGGAGCACCATGCTACTGCAGCTAGACTCTTGCCAGTAACTGAGATTGCTTGTTTAGCTAGGCCTTGCCTACATTGGAACATACAGTGTGTTATTCAACGATAAATACTACAGACTGAAGTACTGCCACTAAGATTACCTTTCAGTGATTAAGACAAAGAGGCTCTTATTATTTTTCTCCCTCAGCTTGAGGCCTTCCCAGTGGCTGACTGGTTTCCACTTTGTCTCTTTTCCTCATCCCATTACAGTCCTTTGTCATAGTCCTAATTTCTTGCTCTCTTTCTCCTCCTCTCCACAAACTAGTCTCTCAAATGCCTTCTTACATTTGTTCTGTAGTAGCCCAGCTAGTGACACTGCTTATGCATTGCTAACCAGAAATCCAGAGCAGCCTATGGGCTAAAAGGGGAGCATATAAAAAGTGGAAACAGGGAGAGATTACCAAAGAGGAGTATACCTCCTCTGCTCGTGATTGTAGGGAGGCAGTTAGACAGGCCAAAGCTACCATGGAGCTGAGGATGGCATCCCAAGTTAAGGATAACAAGAAATTGTTTTTCAGCTATATAGGGAGTAAAAGGAAGGCCCAGGGAGGAATAGGACCCCTACTAAATGGGCAGAAGCAATTGGTGATGGACAGGGGGGACAAGACTCAACTCCTCAATGAGTTCTTTGCCTCAGTGTTCCTAAGAGAGGGGCAGGACAAGGCTCTCACTGGGATTGTAGAGGCAGCAGCAGGGCACCAGACTACCATGCGTAGACCCTGAGATGGTGCAGAGTTACTTGGAGGAACTGGATGTGTTTAAGTTGGCAGGCCCAGATGAGCTCCATCCGAGGGTACTGAAGGCACTGGCTGACATCATTGCACAGCCACTGGCGG